CAATTGAAGGCCTCTTCAGACATTATCTGATTAATGTGTTTGGAAGCATTATGTGGACATATAAGAGGTGGAAGAACTAGTACAAACAACAGAAATGAGCTGAGTCTCAGTTCTCTAGGCTATTTAATGGAACCTGCAGTTTTATACTCACCTGTATGTCACACAGTATAGAAGTTATTATTTTAATTTATGTACCCAAAATTTATGCACTTCCTCATTAAAATTCCTTAGCAACAAATCTTGTTCCCTTAGTTCCCTTCTGTTCACCAGTCTCTGTCTAGAATTCAGCTCCTTACCTCAAAGGCATTTCTCTCTCTCTTATTCCTGCTGTTAACTTAAAAAGAATCATAGCATAGTGTCTCTATTCTTCTTAGAGCTTAAACCATTAGCTGACACGCTACCTTACCTCCAGGAGGTTGTAGTCTTTTAAATTTTGACTAAAGTTATCCCTCTTCCTCTCATAACTGTATCCTGCTTTCAGACTGTACAAGGTGACAACTGCTACATTCCACAGTGAAAAAGAAACATGCTATTCTACATTCACCCTCCCATGTCTTCATGTGTAATGCTTGAAATTTTGCCTGTCAGGAATAGGAACTTTGTTTGGTTTGTATTGGCACAGAATGGGACACAGTTAAGTTAATACTGCTTCTGTCTTCTGAACATTGAAACACCACCAGCGTGCAAAAATTCGACATAAGAACAAGAAACAACTGAAATGTATTTATTTGCTTACAATAATGCAGCTGCGTAATAATACCCAGATTTCTAAGGTGTCTTTCTTGTTCATAATTTTGATGAGTTCTTTTATTATCTTCAAACTGATCAAAACATATTCTCTGAAAGTGCTTGAAATTCTCTGATCGATGGGGAAGTTTAGTTGGGACTCGACAGAAAGTCATATGGTGAATATTCTCTTCTTGGCAGAATTAGTCATGAAAGCATACAATTCTTTCCCTACAAATACTTTTGTATGCAGAATATAGGAATTTCAGAATATTTGTCTTTCATCCAATAAAGTCAATCTCATTTGCAGACAGTACTCCAGAGGGACTTGTGTTAGGCTAGAGCACATTTATTAAGGCAAAGAAATAATATTGGTGGATAATTTGCAGTGTTTGAGGAGCTCTGAAAGCTCTTTTGCTTTTCCAGGACATCTATTTGCCATTAACTGACATGGATACGGGAAGCACGTGTCTCAATTTTTATCTGTCAATGGAGGGTAGGAGCCAAGAACATGTTACGTGTGGGAAGGTAAGACTTACAGTACACTGCACTGGGTGAACAAAACAAAAAGTGTGAGGAAAAGAAAGGAAGAAGAAAAAACTGGAACTTAATATTATATAGTCATGCAGACTAAAAAGAACACAACATCATGGGATTAAAAGAGGAGAATGATGAAATAAATTACTGTGAGGTTTGGATGAGATTGACCTACAAAATGAGCCTGTATGCAAAACAAATGGGAATTGCCATGTCAGATCACACTGGGATCAACTAATTTAGTGCTAAAATAAGTTAAAAAATCTTTTAGGCTAATTGAGCTATTTGTATCCTCATTATTCCCATTTGTTTGCATCCATTCTGAAAATATTATCATCTTCTCAAAGTAAAACATCATTGCATAGCCAATGAAGGGGAAGTGAAGGGTTGCAAGACATCTGATCAGCTCCAGTGACACACCAGCAGATGGAAACAAAGAAAAAAAGCTCCCTTCATCTGCTTTATCTCGTTTTGCGTGGTTGTTCCAGAGACGTGTCCTTGCTGCTCTGCGATAGCAGCGCCTTCCTTGAGTAACATCCTGTCGCTGACCTCAACGTCTCCAGCAAAGTCACTGAGGCCTCTGTGACGAGCACATCCCGTCATCATGTGGTCTTTGACCTAAATCCCTCAGCCACAGACATCCATCCAACATGGAAACAGCCAAGAGTGACCGAGCTGACCGTCTCTCCATGGTCATGGAGAAAAGATTAGCAGCACTGCTAGTCACTGCCGGCTCTGCTACGCTTCAAACGCCAATGCCATGGAAGTTCAACTCTGAAGCAATGCTGAGTGGCCACGGGGAGTTGTACAATACAAAACAGCCTTTTCAATATTTCTCAACAGTAAATACAAACTTATTGACTTTCCCTTTCCTTTCAAGTGTTTCTGTTGTCACCTCCTTCTGCACTCACTGACAGGGCACAGCTAGCCTTAAGAACAGAGCCTGGCTTGCTTTCTTGGGCAATTATTCTATTGTTCAAAGGGGAATAGAAATTTCTTTTTGTGTAATAAGGGACAGTAGCAGTAGGGAAGATATGTTGCCTGGAGATTAAGTTGGAAAGCTTTGTTTCCCCATTTCAGCAGGAATAGAACGACAACTTATAGCTTAATTCTTACCTTCCTAGCCTATCACCATAATTCATCTCTGAATTATGCTCTTTTAACCTAATGTTTCATGTGTGATATTCCTCAGTTTTGTTAAGAATTATCTGTCTTAAAAAAAAAAAAAGTTCATCTCCCTGAAGTAATGAATGTGAAGGGGAAAGACTTCTGTGAATACTGAGAACATAAATGTCAGAACAAAAAAAAAAAGGAGGTCTCAGACACAGGCATACAAATCCCAAAGGCAGAGACAGAGTGGGAACACAGGTTCCTCATTTGAAGGAATTATCTACTGAGCAAAAGACAGGCTAGAATGTAGACTGTGACTTGCTCAAAAGAAGGAAAAAGCCTACCTTTATGCATATTGCAGAAGAGAAGGGAAGAAAAAGATTCATGATTGTGAACAAATTCTTGTGGTGCACAGTATTTTTCAAGTATGGTTTGGCTCAAATCCCATAAAATAAGAATGGATAGCAAAATACGTGAATAGTTTCTTCTAAAGTTCTTATTACACAGGAACAGCAGGCATTTCTCAAAGAGAAATGTCTTGTCCAATCTGAAGTGTTTGCCAAATTGCTATAAGCAAACACATAATATCATCGCCTCAAAAAAAACCCAGTTTCATAGTCCAAAAATTACAGTTCAGTCCTATATTTTCATCTCTGTCAAGATCAGGCTTTGGTAGGGAAAAAAAATGGACTATTTCCCCAGTTACAGTGGGCTAATCAGAGGCTGTTTCAAGTTGTGCCACTGTGTAGAAACAGAACCAAGCATGGACATTTTGAACATAGAAATCCATAGAATTTCTACAGGGAATCAGTAAATAGGTTGTCTTGACTGTGACCTTGACACAGTCAAGGTTTATGTACCTGTGTTTTTGACACAGGTACATTTCTCTACCTCTTCAGGACACTGCCTGACCCAAGGAGCAGGAGGTGACATCTATGCCCTATAGATCAGTGGATATACCCAGCTCTTGGGTGAGGAAGAGTCACCTGTAGCTATCTGGTCCATAAGATCCTCCCTCTATAGAATCACAGAATCAGATAATATGCTGAATTGGAAGGGACCCTCAAGGATCATCAAGTCCAACTCCTGGCCTTGAGCAGGATGCCACAACAGCCACACCATGTGCTTGAGAGCATTGTCCAAATGCTTCTTGAACTCTGTTAGGCTTGGTGCTGTGACCACTTCTCTAGGGAGCCTGTTCCAGTGTCCAGTCACTCTCTGGCTGAAGATTCTTTTCCTGATAGCCAACCTAAACCTTTCCTGACATAACTTCAGGTCATTCCCTTTGGTCCTGTCACTGGTCAGCACAGAGAAGAGATCAGTGTCTGCATCTTCTCTTCCCTTCACAAGGAAGCTGTAGACAGCAAGGGGATCTCCCCTCAATCTCCTCCTCTTCAGGCTGAACAGACCAAGTGACCTCAGCTGCTCCCCATATGGCTTCCCCTCAAGGCCCTTCAACATCTTTGTGGCCCTTATTTGGACCCTCTCTAATAACATTATTGCCCTTCTCATGAGGTGCATCCCCAGAGAATGAGCTAACCTCCAAAGGGGTAGAAGATCCAAGCCCCTTGAGCATTTCCCTAAGTCATCTGCAGCAAGCCTGGCCATCATTTGACAGTGGAACAGGGGGTTGTTACTTGGTACCAGCAGCTACTGCTGCCTCACAGATGTTCACATGGAGGGCCAGCTGCTCCACCTCTTCCACTCACCCTCAGAAGGGGCGGGAGGAAAGAGAGAAATAGATGAGATGGGGAAATGGAAGGAATGGAGAAAAGGAAATAGTCTATAGTTCCTCCTGTGTCAACCAGAGTAACTTCACTGAGGACAGATCAAGTAACTTCCCCTCTGCAAGAAGGGGAGAATAATCAAACAACAGTATCTACTGAGTGGAATTTATGTAAATTAATATTTCATAAACTTTTTAAGCATCTCCCAGTCTTAACACATGTGATGCCATTCCCTCACTGCCATGCTGGGGAGTAAGTCCATGCCTTGCATGGAGGGACAGTTCTGCGGGCAGCCTTGCTTCTTGGGTGAAACCAAGTGGAGTTTCACTTGTCTGCCATACAATGCTGTGATCTTTCTGCCATGCTGGGACTCGATGACCCAGATGCAGATGTCAGGGTCAGGTTATATTGTTCAGCCAGAGCTAGTAAAGAGTTCAGGCTGGGAGAGAGGCCACAGCACTGCATTTACAAGAGTTAAAATCTTGTGGGGAAGCATGAAATAGGAATTGGTTTGGAGGAATCCCTCTGTTGAAGCACGAAACTTGGCTGCCTGATACCCAACAGACAACACCCACCCTGACATGTTTTATGATGGATCTGTTTGTTCTGAGCGCTACAATGCAGCTTTTCATCTTGGCAACTCTTTCAGCAGACAGAATTGGGAGACAAAGTGCCTTCCCTTCCGGCCCACCCTGTCCTCTCTAGATCACACAAAGCACATTTTTTGAGCAGTGTTAGGATTTTATTTACTGCAGGCAAAGGCACAATTCTCTCCACCCCAAAAACCACCACATCAACGGCAGCTTTGATAAAGCCTGAAATTGAGGCCTAAGAATTCCAGTGTGAATTATTAAAACAACACAATATCAATCTCATATTATGATGATGATAACTTGGTACCTTTTCCTTCCTTCTGACATCTCTTTCTTTGTACAATACATTTTCTGCTCTCGGTTGTAGCTGGGCAAGGATTTCCCCTTGCTGATGGATGCTGTATGATCTCTTTGACCCTCACTTCATTTCCTCTTTTGAAACCACAAGTTTTTCCTTTCTTCATGCAAGGGCTCCATGGACTCCACTCACTGGTTTCACAGTGCACTGCAATAAACATAAAATAAACTTAGACTGACCAATATGTTTTTGTATACAGAATGCATATGGTACATTATTTTCATTCTGCATCAGCCAAAAGGTGGCAAAAGCTAATGGAATAATCAATTCTGAGTTGCAGCAATGAATTGACAGAAATTGGATTGTTAAGGATATGCAGCACAAAAAAATGTCAAATAATTATAACAGTTACTATTTTCTACTCATTGTTTTGTAATTACATTCCTGAAGCAAGGCAATAACAGCACTACTGGTCTCAGTGGAATCAATTACTGGCGTTTGTTCTGACTTTTCTTTGGTTTGATGAGTTGTAAACCCTTTTAGCTTCGGTGAAATAAACTTTGGTCATGCCTGTGTGAAAGGTGAGTGAAGCCATTGGGTCAAGCTGCTGCAGCTCGTCTCAAAGGTAGAAATTGGGAAATTGATAGTTATAAAGGACCAAGTGATATCAAAAGAAGTTACACTGGAAGTCAAGTGTCTTTGGCTACCTAAAGACCCATCATCTGTAGCATACAGAAGTTAGAAACAGGCAAAGCAGAGGAGAATTTGGGTCAGTGTGAGGCTTCAAGCTTTTCAGAATGGTGCATATTACCCTTTCTAAACCAGTGATGTGAATGTGCATCCTGTGCTGTTTGGAGGTCAGAAGATGTGACATTTCACGCTTATCCAAAGAGTGTAAACAAAACATGGGAATAAACTTGGAAGGCTAACAATATGCTTTTAATAGCAATCCTTCTCTTATGCCATCTTGCTGTCTTTCTCTTGAAAAAAATAGTAAATGTATGTATTTACTTTAAGTCCAACTGCATGCTTAAGATTATAAGTTAGCACTGAAGGAGAGACTTCCTGCTCCTCTGTAAAGACAAATTAGCAAGTCAACATTTTTCCAGATCCAGAATTTGCTTCTAAATTTTCTGAAACCTAGAAATATAACAGACTTTAGGCAATCTCTGGACCTTCCTCCAGTGAGTTGTCATATAGGTAATTTTTTTCATGTTACACTGGGGCTCTTCTGCTAAAATAATTGGCTTTCACATGCACAAAAAGGTTCTGGTTTTACTCCATAGCTTTAAATGGCTTTTCCTCTTTGAGACTGACTCATTGTCAAAGCAGCTGAGTCTACAGCAGTTGGAAACAGCCATCAAGAAACAAAAATGATCCCCTGAATTTCTTTCAAAGATGAAAGTCCTGAAAATAAAACCATAAAAGCCTACACTACCACCTGAACTAATATATATTTGAGAAGGAAAATGCCTAACTACTGCACGTTAGTTTTATTCCTGCACTACTTCCCCTCCAAAACGCTTGATGCCAGAGAGAGCTATGTGCATGACACTGTGGAGAAGATTTCCATCACGCCCAGACTGTGCCTAAGTGCTCTCTCTCTGGTTGCTGGTGGCTGAAGAGGTTATGGCTTGCACTGCAGCTCACAGCCCTCAGCCTTCACAATTCACAGCCAATGTACTAAAATAAGCTGAGCCCTGCCACAGCTTCAGTGTGCCCTGAATGGTGGGGGATGCTAACTGCAGCTGTTCGCAGGCAAACATATCTCTTGTTCTTCTCTCATTTGGAGGGATGGCTGAGGGATGGAGCAGACAGTTAGGTGTGGTGACCTCTGAAATTGCCCTTGTGTGAATAATTGGAGCTTTTGAGTCAGAGGCTCAAGATACAAAAGCCAGTCTCTTCTCCACAGCCAGTGAGTCACAATGACATCAATCTCACTCCTTCAGTGTCAGTGACACCCTATTTGTAATCCTCATTTTCTGAAGTCTGGTGATTATCGCACCATTTTGGAGATTGGAGGTTTTTTGGGGGGATGTTTCCTTAATATATTAGCTTTTAGCCTTCACCTTTGAAAAGGTAAGCTTCAAAATGTTGTTGCATACATGCTTTGAAGGCTCAGGTGGTACAAGGGAGCCAAAGTAAAGCCATTAGTATTTTAATCTTTTTTAAACTACGTGTGGGATCTGACTTAGGGTTTTTGAAACTCTGCTGTTAGTGCTGCTGCATAGCAAAGGAACCAAGCAAGAGATGGATGTCTTGCTACCTCAGGGCAGACCAAACTGGCTGTCCTTCCTCTAGCAGAATTGCCCTTAGCATCAAGGCTGTTTTTGCAGGACACAACCAGGTTTGTGCCTCTTGTGAAGTGGCAGACTTGGGAAATACCTTGAGTGTTTTGTGCTGGGGAGTATATCTTGTTATGAAGAACATTTTCATTTCCCTGGTGTAGTAACTGATCATGCCTTCCTTAGGTCCCACAGCCCCTCTGAGAAAACGAGGCAGAACATGGGGAGCAGACTCACCGATGCTGGTGCACTCCATCGTGTGGTTGTTGGCTTCCAGCCCATCAGGGCACTTTTCAAGGCACTTTCCACTGTATAAGTAAAACCCACTTTTACACTTTGTGCAGAAGTTTCTGGTGAAGCAGGTGTCACAGTCAGCTTTACATTCTGAAACGCAAACAGTAAACAACAGCTTTGTTGCTCTGTGCCATGAACTGCCATGGGCTCTCTCACATATACCAGAATCACACAATTCTAGCAATGTCAGACAATCCTCAAAGGAAACAAGTTATGTTAGGTCTTCTTCCTGGCCAGTACACATGGTGAAGCCAGCCACAGGTGACCCTGGCATGGGTGAGAATTTAGAAAGGATGGCCTGATGCTGAACAGCCTCACACTGCTAATCTTCTTGGAGACCTGTGCAAATGGCAGGCAGAGCAGGGCACGTGAGAATAGCGCTGTAGTGCTTCTGCCCTGTCCTGGCACCACATAGGTACTAATTAACCCCATGGGACACAAGGGCTAGGTCAGCTCCACACTCCTATCTCCTGTCTCCAGGAGATAAAAATGTTCATGCAGGAGAAAAAAAAATATGCCAGAATTTAGAATCTGCTTAGGAGTGGTTTTGATCAACATATCTTTTTTTTTCTTTAAATGATTCCCTGATATTCAAGCAGACGTTCTGTAGTATTTAATGTATTGTCTATATGACTACCCAAATTGGCATTGCTGATACATTTCCCAGTTCTAAGAAATTTTTAAGAGAAATGCATAAAACCTTATGTATGGCACAGCTCATGTTTGATATGCAAGGCCACACACTGCTAAAAAGTGAGCAAATACTTTGCAGTGTCAAGTTACTCTGTAAGAGTTTACTCTGGGGTCCATTCATTAAATAACTTTTATTACCAGGTAAAAACTGGGAGAGTTTCTTGGCCATCACTCTTATGTTTTTATATCACCTGTGGGATTAAAAACAGTGAATTCAACAACAGAAAGAGGAGTGGGGAGGACATTGTGATCCTTTCCAGTTCATTTATGGTTCAAAAATCCATAGTGGGGTCAAAATGTTGCCTTCTCTGAGAGTTGGCTTCTCTGTCCCCCAGCCTGGAAACAACACAAACCAGTAAATTCCCCCAAATCAGGCTGAAACCTGGCCAGCTGAAACCTGGCCAGCTTCTACAGGCATTTAGAGGACTACAGTGAGCTTGAGACAAGCTATAAAGAGACCAGGGCAAAACACATCTCCAAAGCATGCCACCTGCCACTCTATTTCCTTGCTGCAGAGCTCAGGTGAGTAAGGGCAGTGGGTTAGACAGCTCCAGTACCAAGATTCAGCATTCCTCAGTCCCCTCTCTCTCTTCAGAGCTGCCGGCATTCTCTTGCTTCTGGAGGGCACTGGTGCCCACCAGGGCTTCCCCTTCATATGGGGATGTGGAGGAGGAGGCCATCACCTGGGTTCTAGGCAGGTCATTCATGCAAAGCCAGGATCCCTGAGCTTTAGGCCATTTTTCTGGTCTTTAACTTCTTGCTTGGGTTAATATTTACTGCACTACTACAAAGAACTGAGCAAATAAGGACAGAGCCTGTCCATCTCCTTCTCTGTTGACTTGACTCCTAAGGAGACACAGAATTCAAGAGAGTACAAACAAACCCACGTGCTTCCCCTTTCCCCAGCACTTACTTGCACACTTATTAATGTCGGGATACCGTGTCCCATAGTATCCGCTTGGACACGAGGAAAGACACACTCCGATCTGTTTCATGCCAATCCTCTCCAGAACGAAGAAGAGCCTGGGCTTACATGACAGGCATCCATTGTAGTCAGAGCATGTAGCACACCCTCCTTGGCAACCCTGGCTCACGTTAGGATGCACTGAGAAGAAAAGAATTAAAAAAACAAAAAAACAAAGTGTGAGAAAACAATACATTAAACAAGACCATGACATAATGGTTCCTCTGCACTTGGAAGGGTGGACCATCCATCTCTCTGACAGCTTTTAAAGTTTGCTTCATTTTTTCTTGTGTCTCTTATGACCTGACTTGTCATTTTAGAAATTATTTCATCTACATAAAAATGAGAAGCTCAGCTGACATCTTTGCATCTTGCAGATATAATCAACAGCAAATGATCTTTGAAATAGATGATATGGAACAGCAGCATTCTAGAGAACATTCATTTTTCTCTTCCTTATTTTCAGGGGCTTTTCTGCCTTGTGTGCACTTGGCTCAGCAGATAAATTCATATTCCCTTATTCTTTCTTTTCCTAGTTGGATGATAAAAAATAGATCTAGTGTATAGCTTCCTTTGATGACTAAATGCCATTTAATTTGAGTTCTGCTGTGCAGGAGTATGCCCTTGTAAGATCTGATGATACTTTGCCTTAAAAAAAAGACACAGGAGAGCCATCCTTCTCACCCTCCTTCTTTCCCTGGAATGTTCTCTCTGGCATGTTTTTAATCTCTAACAATTACAACCTGATGTTTAGACTTAACTGTGGCATTTACCCTGCTACAGTCTCAGCATGTAGCATAGGTAGGATTATATTTGCCTTTCAATTGAATTGTTCTAATTCTTCAGACAAGGAAAGCGAAATTTATTACACACACTGCCTAACTTCTTTAGGGGCTTGGGGATAGCAGGAAAGAGGATGCTGTTGCAGACTATCTTTTCAGTAGCAGACATTAATCTGCTGTGTGATACAATGACGTGTATTACTTCTCAGTCATAGAGAATAAAGTTTTGCATCCTCCTGTATTTGAGAAGTTGTTACCTTACCTACTTTTAATTCCTTCTTGCTTGCTTTCTTAAATAAACTGAAACTAAAAAATAATGGAGCATCAACTAACGCCAGACCTTGTGTGCCCTCTTGTTTTGGCCTTGCCTTGCATGAAAAATGGTAATTTTTTAAAGTGCAAGCTTTCATCTCTCAGCCTAACACACCTGGTTATATTTCATATATACAAAAAATATAGTCCTCATTTACATTTGTAACTTGTATTTCTAAATACTATTGGCTTCCTGTTCTGCCTTCTCCTCAGGCCATTGATAATTTTATAAATGTGCACATGCACGGTGTGACTGCCTATTTTAGTGCTTTGATTTTATTTTGATCTGCAGACACTGCTAACTAGCTTGCACACACAATTAACTTGTTTTTTTCAACTCCTTTCTGTGGAGCCCTTGGAGGCAGACCAGGAGTCCATATGAATTCATGGCTGGCATGTTGGGAGGCAGCACGGCCTGCTGCTCAGGGCAGGCTTGCCTGGCAGGGAAGTTCAGCAGCACCTCTGTGCTTTGCTCACCTACACTCTCTGCAGAAATGACATGTCCCATGAATGGGAAAAGCACTTTGCTGGGCTCTGAGGTTTCAATGACATGCCCTGTGACCTGAAGAACCTCAAAGGGAATTCAAGTTCATTCTTCCTCTTTGATTAATAAAATGAGGAATGAGGGTTATTTCTCTCAGTAGGGCTGGGCACACATGAAATGTACAAACTTTGGCCTTGCTGTGCACAAACAATTTCAGTAAGGATACAAGAACTCAATTCTCTGTGTGTATACTGAGACATTCATTTTGGAGCATAACCTAGAGGAAAGTGTGTTTACAATGAGTACATGAGAATAAATGACATTCAGCAGCGAGAAGCTGCAACCCCAATTCAGTTATCATACTTGCTTTCACTAGACTCTCAAAATACTGAATACTTAATAAATAGAACACTTTTTTTTTTCTGAAAATATTCCAAAGGCACAGAACTTATTGATTTTGAACTTAAGAGCCTGGAAAATTTTTTTTCTTTCTAAAGTTAAGTAAATGAAAACATCCTTATCTCTCTCTCCTCTGTCTTGTGGCCCTTGTATGAAACAGCTTTAAAAGGCAGACACAGTAATGTGATCTAAGAAGCTGACATTATTTAAAAACTATCTGTGACTTTCCTTCATTAAGTCTGACAGTTGGATGAAAAAGCAGCTGAAGTACAAAATATTTGTCATCAAAGTTGCTGTATAAAATATGGATGATCACTTTTGACGGGAAACATATTATGTGTGAGCACCTGTGACACATCATTATGAATAGATTCTCTTGACAGAGAAAACATTATGTGCAACTGCTCTGAGGTCAAGATGTGTGTGTGAGCCAAGACAGGCAATCCTTTACTATTGAAATATGATAATTCTCTATAGCTAAGATCCATAACATGGCCAATTTCCATCTCCCCTTTAAGTCCAGAAGTACTAAGTATAAAATAAAATGTACTCCTAGCCATTTTCACAATTTTTGCCTCTTCTCCTGGATTCCAGATACATCTCATACAAATAACACAGCAAAAAAGGAAAGCATAGTTCCAAATGGAGAATGTTATTGCTAGTGTTATGGAGTAAAGAATAGGATAAAATATGCAAGTCAAGCCCCACTGATTTCATGTCATGTTATAACTAAATGTATGAAGCACAATGAGTTCCAGTTCTTGGAAATTCTTAAAGAAAAATATCACTGAAAAGTCAAAATCAACATTTTACATAAAACATGGGTTTTTTCTCTTAAAAACTATTAAAGAGATGCACTTTTTTCATTGTCTCTTACTGCATCTGGCATTTCTTTGAGTCTTGTACCTGTGTAATAAAATAGTTTCTCATTTGTCTTGCAATAAGGGTAGAACCTTATTCTAGGCAAGAATCAAAGCAGGGAGGGACAAGCCACATGCTCCGGAAACTGGCATTCTTTGAAAGCACTGGGCTTTGTCATTGAACCTGGAAGAAAAAAAAATGTGGAGCCAAAATATTTGTGCCCAGAGGACGAGATAACGTGTTTGAAATTAGGCATCTCCAAGCTCCAGATGAAAATCTCACTCTTGTTACCTCTCAGCCTCCTCCCTCTCTGGTTCAGATCCAGATGCTTGCCATATCCTTGCAATGTCTGGGCCTGTCCTTCCCCTACTGCAAAAGCTGAGTGGGATTGAGGGGATTCTAGAATCCATTTAATCTTCTGGGTAAAGAACTGGCCCTTACTCTTCCTCTCTCATTGCAGCAAATTGTTAGTACCTGCCGATCTCAAGTGCTTCACCAGCTCCAACCACAACCCCAAAGAAGCAACCAGTAGTTTTACCTCTTTTTTTAACCAGTATCAGACACAGAGCTCAGAGTTTAAGTGGTGTGCCACAGGAAGCTGTAAACATAAACCCCACCTAGTGAAATCCAGTCACAGTACACCAAGTGTAAGCATTGCTTCAAATTTCTATACTAAGGTAAACAGTAGAAATGGGTAAGTAATGTATATCCACATTGAGAAACACTTTGAAGTGAAAAAGCAGGTGATAAAGCACTAGGAGAGCACAGACCACTCCTGTTAGCCACAAATTATAGATGTGGTAAGAGGGATGAAGAGAGTTTCAGTGCCTTGGCAGAGGGTTGGGCACCGTGGCCCTGTGGGTTAGACACTGGCTGCAGAACCAGGAGGTATGGAGTGGCATAGCTACTGTCTTGAACAGTAGCAAATATGTTCAAGACACACCCTTGATAAGTACACTTTCATGAAATCACTTGGTCTTTGGTGCAGCCCGCTCCATTACAAAGACAAAAAAAAAATGAAATGTAAAAAATTCTCACCAGCTTTCAGAACTGAGTCAGTGGGGATGAAACATTCTATGCATGACCCTGCTAACCATTGAGTGCTCCACCCTCTTGTATCCAAACACTTTTTGAGCACAGTGAAATCAGAGACTCTCAGGGATGGAAAATGCAGCATAGCAGTGGACAAAGCAAATGGTGGGAGCGCAGGGATCCACACACAAGTTCTTTCTCAGCTCTTACACAAACATCAGCCAGAAGTGATACAAACTACTCATTTACAGACTCATGACTGGCTATAGGTCCAAAATTTATCCCTTCTTCCCTTTTTTTTTTTTTGGTAAAACCTAAATACTGGAGATTAGAGAAGACCCTAAATGGATGTTGAACTGTTCCCTTCCCCTGTCCGACTTTAAGCTCTTTTTTTCCCAGAGGCCTCTTTTTGTGCAAGCCATTTGACCAGATATTAGTTAAGTCTCATTAGCAAATGAAATCTCAGAATATTTTCCAAAGCCCTACTCTGGAAACAATGAGTTATAGTCTCTGTTAAAAGTAGAAAGTTAAGGATAAGGAGCTGAGTTTGAATCTGAACTTTTGTGGACAAGAAGCTAGATTTTGACCGAGTACAGCAAATGAATTCTAAACCTTTGAGATGATATTTTTCAATCAATTTTACTCCATGTATAGATTAGAATTTAGGGGATCAAAAAACCATGGAAATAAGAAAATGCAGGAGAAATCCAGCTGGGCATACGTTCTGACACCTGGGGAAAAGCATGGGGTAGGAGAAAATTCTTTGCCCATTTGCTGCAGCTGAGGTGCACTGTCTCATCACCACTCCAACAACAAGATATCCCTTCAGAGGTTTGCTCTTGAAATGGATGTGCTAGGCAAATGGAATCCATCCCTGCTGCTGCTTCTGGTTTCTCAGGCTTGCGTGTTCTCACAGGAAATATTTTCATAGCAGAGCTGCTCTGGAATTCGACCTTCCCAGCTGGACTACCCCTTGCCAGGAGAGCCAGACCCCACCTCAGCTTTTACCACCACACAGCGCCCACATGGACATGAGCCCTTGTGGCAGTGTGGATTTGGGATGGGAAATCCCATGGGTTCTGGTGTCATTCAATTGCTCTGTGTGCTCACTCACGTTCCTTGCTCTTTCCCTTGCCTGGTGAGAAGCAGCTGCCTGTGGTGGTGGCCTGAAAACAATACTTCATGTAAAGCAGAGCTACTCTCAATCATGCAGACCGTCCTTTAGGCAAGCGCAAACAGCATTTGGCAGTCAGCTCTTCTAATGAAAAAGT